TCTTCATCACTTGGTTCCTCCGTCCGTCGGATGGTCACACCACTCGTATGCGTTCCTTAGATATTTGGTGGCTTTATCATTTTCACACCAAGGAATGTCCCAATATTACACAAATTATTTTTTCTTGAATTGGTGTGCGCCATTACTAAGGGCTCAAATTTCACCTTTTCTTTGCCTTATGTTTGTGTCTTAAGCCACATTTTTCGTTTACACTCCATTAATACCTCTTTTGATCCTCTCGTTCCCCTTTCGAGTTAGCTTGATCATACCTCCTTTAAGAAATGGTTCAAATTTGAAAATGGAAATTGGGTTAAAAACCTTGATGGCGCTCCTCTAGTTGATGATCTCGCTGCTATTGTCGAAGATGTACCCGCTGATACCGCTGCTCCTCGTTCTTCCGTCACCTTAGACTTTATCTACTACTTCATGGTGACTCGTTTTGATCATTTCGATCACCGTCTTGAAGCTATGGATGCTAATTTTGATGAAAAGAAAGCTAGTATTCATGCTTTGGAGGCTCACTTTCCATGTTCATGTCATCCTTCAGGTTATTCTTCCTCCTCTTATCCGGATATTGAGGATTGATCTTTTGCATCGTTTCTTAGACTATTAGGATGCTTTTATATTTCATGTTATGACGATTATCTTATGTTGCTACTACTTTGGATATTTTGTTAAATATTTGCTAGTACTAGCTAAATACATTGCATTGATAAATTTGGCGATTATTGGTTATCTTGATATTTGTTGGATATTTGTTATTGTGCTCTAATATTGGCTTATCTCTTGTAGTTAATTGATTTTGATCTAACAAAAAGGGGAGCAAATTCTAGTCAAATTTGTTTTATAAAATTCCAAAATTTTCATTTTTGACATTCACTCTTAAATTCCTTTTCATAGGGGGAGAAATGAAAAAAAATAATTATAAAAATTTTGACCTCTTTAAAATTTATTTTTGACAAATTTTTATAAAGTAGTTTTGTTATATCAAAAAGGGGAGATTGATAAATGTATTTAAATGATTTTGATATAACAAAAGACTAAATTGAAACTTTTGTAAAATTAATGTTTTATTATATTCAAGAATTTTCAAATTTGCAAAAATAAGTTTGAGGTTCAAAATGTCAAAAATAAATTTGAAAATATTTATGAATTTTATAAAGTTTTAAATACTTTTTAAACATGAAATAAGGCCATTTTCATCAATTTTTTGGCATGGTTTCGAAACCCCCATTAGGAGGTTTCAAAACCACTCAGGCAGTAGCTAAAACTAATTTAAGGTTTCGAAAACCCTATAGGTGTCAAAACCCCTGCCCAACGGTCAAAATTTTCAAAGACGGGTTTCGAAACCCCTTCTATGGTTTTGAAACCTTTGTGAAGGATTGCATTCAATGAACTAATTTATTGTTCCACTCGGCTCCAAACTACCTCTAACAACCTCAAATGGTTAGAAATCAATAAGGGCATATAAAATGGATCTTCAAACAGTAGTAAAAAACAAGAAAGTTATTCCAACAATCAAAGAGCATTGAGAGCCAAATTTGTATTCAACTTTGTCTTTCTTACTTAGAACACTATTCATTCTTTTTATTTTTCATTCTAGTGTTCCTGGGTGTGTAAGAGCTTCAATTTGCAAACATCTTATCTTGTGAGGATATTCAAAAGTTTGCTTCTTTGTAATTTGTTCTTAGGAAGGGTTGTGCACTTGAGACTTTGGGTATAAGTCTAAGTGTGTTGTAAGGTTACCCCTTGTCGTAAAAGGTTAGAACAAATTAGTGGATTTGTTGAAATCCTTATCGTGGAAGCTAAGGTAGTAGATGTAGACTTCATTGAAGAAGTTGAACCACTCTAAAATTACTTGTGTCAATTTTTTATTTTCTTGCAAAAAAGCTTCCATCATTTTTCTAATTGTCGATTTACCCCCTCTTGGCCATTCCATTGATTCGATTGACTCAACACAATCTATACATCGAAAAGTCAAGGGGGACTTGGTTTTCGTGATCTACGGACATTTAACTTGGCAATGCTTGGTAAACAAGTATAGCGATTAATTCAACACACATATTGCTTGTTGGCAAGGGTATAGAAAGAAAAGTACCATCCAAATTGTGATATACTTGGTGCTTCTGTTGGTAACAATAGCTCCTATGCGTGGAAATGTATTCACAAAACCATTTAGGTTTTTTCAGGTACATTGTATTGAAGGGTTGGATGGGATAGTTATGTCCATATAACCATGGATAAATAAGATGGATCAAAGTTAGTTTCCTTTACCAGAGATTACTCAACTATCCCCGCGCAGTAGTTATAAGCATGGCATTTCACGTACGATTGAACGTCTCACTGGAACGAGTCAAAAGTGTGCCACATTTTTAATACCATTGACTCTGACTTGATTTTGTCGACATTCATTGCTCCAATCCAAAGGGATGTGATCATATGGGGCAATCATGATTATGGTATATACTATGTCCGTTCAGGTTACTAGTGGCTTCAACGTCCTAATCATTCTCAGAACTCTGCTTTCAAAGTTTAGAAAATAGTTTCTAAGTTACAGATCCTGTCCAGCTTTGCTTGGAGAGTAGAACACGGTGGGTTATCGATTGGTATGCGGTTACGTGATGCTAGCTTAAGTGATGGTCTTTGTCCAATTTGTGGCTTGGAAGAAGAGACAATAGTTTATATTTTACGGGATTGCTCTTAAGGCCAAGAAACTTTTATTTGTGCAAGTATGCATGGTACGTTATTGTCTAGCCAACTTGTTTCTCCATTGGATTGGTTGGATTTAGTTATTACTAATTTGGATCTAGTTGGACTTGCTTGTTTTCTTGTATTAGTTTGGAACCTTTAGAATGGGAGGAATTCCAAAGTGCATGATAACAAGCTTCAAACCCCATGGATATTGGCCATCAACGTTGTCTCCCTTCAGCACGAGTACATATTGGCCAGGGAGCATACATTGGGGAGGGCGAGAGTTGTACGATCTTCTCTAAGAGAAGCTTTGTGTATTGATCAGGAGAAGTGGTAACCTCCCCCTCTAATGTATAGGAAGATAAATGCTTTTGAGTCTACTGGGCGTATAGCAGCTGTGGAAGTTATTGCCCAAAATGTCGTTGGACAGGTACTTGGCGGCATGGCTGCATCGTCACCAGGTTGTGTTGAAGTTGGGATTTTGGAGATTCATTTCTGAATGTTGCTCTTTCTTTGGTAACGAGTATCGGTGGACGCATGTAATCTTTGAATCAGATTCAATGCTTGTAGTCAACAAGATGTCTCAACGGAAGAAGGATTTATCCACGTTGAGTTATCATCTTTGAGAAGCTCGTAGGATTTTAGATGCTAATTTAAATTTCAAAATGTGTTTTGTTTCTAGAACTTGTAATATTGTAGCACATACTTTGGCTAAGTGGGCTCTTCGTTCTGAAAATGCCTTGTATTTTAACCCTATTTGTCCCGAGAATATTGCGTCTGTTGTATCCATTGATTTTTCTGGCAATACAAGGTCCTAAGTCACTCTTTTCCCCTTATAGGTCTTAGAAGGGGTTTTTAATGAGACTCGTTTTCTTTATATATATATATATATATATATATATATATATATAAGTTTAACTTTTTAATCCAACATATATTTGCGATTTTTAGCCAATTAAAAAATCAAATTTATATACTTTATTAAAAAAAGAAAATTAAATACAAAAATTAACTTTAAAATTAAACTAAAATACCTAATTAAATAAAAAAATATATATTAAATATTAAAATATATATTAACCCTTTGTTATGAATTCTACTGCTGATTTTTCATTACATAAACATTACATCTATCTGGGTCCAGTTTGGTCGGTGAACCGTAAAGATTTTTAATTATTATTTTTAAAATATTTACGATAAGTCATGAGATTCAACCAAGTTAAATGATATTAATTACTCTTTAATACCAAATATCTATTCTATATACATTTGATAATTTTGGACACTTTTTATATAATAAAAATATGAAAGATAAAAGATGAAATTATATATATATATATATATATATATATATATATATATATATATATATATATATATTCCAACTCATGTTGATTTTGGACGCTACATAGTTTCGGATTTTATTTACATAAATAATAAAAAACTAATATCATTCTTAGGGCTGAACAATAGAACTGGAAAATGAAAAATTGATTCAAACTAAATTATTCAGTTTCATTTGATTTAAGTTTTCTATTTGTAGTTCAATTTTGATTTGATTTAAGTTTTCTATTTGTAGTTCAATTTTGATTTGATTTAGATATATAATTTTGTAATTTGATTCGACTTTTTTTAAATAAAATTCGTCTGTTTGAATTCAAATCAAATTAAAAAAAAAGAAATAAATTATGAAAAATAGATTTATTTAACTTTATTATAAGATGAATTTAAATAAATAAACTATTAAAAGTTAAAACCATTAATATTTTTTTAGAATTTAAATTTATGTGTTTGCATTCGGTTTAAGTTTGAAATTTGAATTTTTTATGTTAGGTTTAAAAAATGGAGAATAGTTAAAACTCGCAAAATCGAACCAAAAATTTCAACTTTTATATCATTCGGTTTTAATTTCTGTTTTATTTTTAGAAAACCTCATAATAACAATCTGATTTATCTTTTATTCAAAAATTGAGTCAAACTGAATCAAATATACCTCTTATTATTTCTATAAAATTACCAATATCTTAGAAACAATAAATATTAAAGATAAAAGAATCCAATTAGCATTATAATTTGACTAAAATACTCAACTAAACCACATTTATTCAAAGTACATTGATTATAATTAGCAAAAATCAAACAGTGAAAGTACCGAAAAATCAGATCAGAGACGCTCCTATATGACCGTACATGTGATTATCGCCGTATATATTGCTACTTAAAGAGAGTTCCCCAAAGGTCAAACAGAGGCCGTTGCCTGTGAAACACAGGAACATTAAAAAAATAAAAAAAAAAAGCTAAATCTTGTGTGTTCTCTCTATTTGTCTGTCAGTGGGTGTGTTTTTGATACAAAAAAAAAGTTATTTTTGGATTCAGTTTCCTACATATCTTCTCCTCCTTTGCTTTCTAACTTCCTTTCCTCTGGGAGTCCAAAACCAAAGGAAAACGAAGAAAGAGAAGAAAAAAATCATTCTTTGTATATCAAAGCAATGTTTAAGTGTTACCCCTTCAACCTTCTCCTTGTGAATATCCTTCTGCTTTGCCTTGATGTTCTTCTTGCATTTATTGCCTTCTTTCAGGTCTGTTTTCTGCTCCCCTTTTTATGTTTTGCTTTGCTAATGCATTTACCTTCTATTATGGTATCTAATTACTTATGTGGGCTTTAATTTCTATTGTGAAAGGGGATTTGATGATTTTTTTTCGACTGGGAAATCTGGGTCTTGCTGGGTTACTGAGAAAATGTTAGGGAAAATAATATAAACCGCTATAATCGTACAGGCATTGCTTGAAAATTGTTGTTTTAAAAGGTTATTCTGGATTTGTTTTCAGTGCATTTCAGCTTATTCTGTTGAAAATTTCATGCTTTATTTTTCTTTATTTATTTTTTTTGTATAAATTAGTGATGATTTTGGCTTTTTTTCTGTTGAAATTTCTGAATCCGAGCTTTTGTTGCCTTTGAATGAATCCTTTCTAATGTTAAGGAGCAAAAAGAGTGACCCAAAATAAAATTTGGCATAAAATTAAGCTAAATTTGCTTCAATTCTTCATTCTCTTTGAAGTAACCGTTGTCCTGTACATATTTGATGTCAATGGGTATGGAGGTCTGCCTTCCAAATGTGTGAAATACTTGGGAAAATAGACGGTAACCATGTCGAATACATATCTGTTTCGAACAAGCACACCCACCCAAATGGTTCTAAACTTCTAGTTGAACCAGTAAGACATATATATGCCTTTCAGGTACTACTTTTACAGATTTTAGAAGAATCATATTACAAAATTTGACACATAACAACGGGCGTTTATAATTAACTTGATTTATTTATTTTTGACGTACCTTAAAAGGCATTATAAAAGTAGAAGAGTCGCAATAAATACTGAAGTTGACAAATCCATATTTTGAGTTCACTTCCTTAACTATATGTTTCAGAACTTTTCCCCCTGACATATTTAGCCTTTGTTTAATCAGCTTTGTAGGATTCACCTACGTAATCAACAAGTTGGGTGGACACGTCAAAAGGTAAGCAAAATCTTCAAGTTATTTCCCTAGTCTTTTGTGGTTGATTTGCGTGTGCTTGTTTATGTTGTTCTTTAATGCAAGAGGCGTATGTGATGTCATAGTATTTCATGATGCTTTTATAATACTAAAGTCCGACTAACTTAGCTCATTTGTATCAAGTTGTTTCTTTCTTTAGCCTCCTATACGCATAATATAAACCTGGAACTTCCATTCGTTTTATGACGATACACAAATTGATTCATGCTTTGTATTGCTTAATTTTCACATTTTTTGTCTTCTGATTGTTGTATAAAAGCACAGGATTTACTTTGGCATATATATATCTATGATTCTAATTTTATGTGTGTCTGCGATCTATAATACTTCTTCTAAAAACGAATTCGACGCTGTTTTTCTTTTGTCCTTTTTAATGAAACTATACTGATGGAGCGAAATACTAATTGCAGGTTCTTCATCTCATGATAGGCTCCTCTAATTGTGGTAAGAGCTTAACTAAGATGTTGTGAAGCTTTGGTCTATCTAGTGAAGTTTTTTTTTTACTAATGTATTAATCAAATTAGAAAAGTAGCATGGATCCAATTGGAATTTATATCTAGTGTTTTAGAAATGATATCACTTTAATAGTTTTGAAGCCACAATATAAAGTAAGACTTTTCCTTGAATGAGAAATGGGCCACTGATTGATATATTTCGGCGTTCTTCTAAGATGAAGAACATGAATTTACAGGATAATTGTTATGAATAAGTTTCATTTACTGGCATATTTTGCAATGCCAACTTTGGTTGTTTCGATAGATTTTATGTATTGGTATCCAACCGGAATTCTTCAAGAAGAGGTAAACCACGGTGTTCAACCTAACAGTTCCTCGAGTTCCAAGCTCATAGACCCCCTTTAAGCCTTCTTTGGAAATGAGCTAAATTTTCGGAAGTGTTTAATTTTTTTCTGCATAAGATAATTATCTTAAGATTTCTTTTGTCTTCTTACAGGTTATTTCATTTATTTTTTGTGCATGGTTGTTGGCACATGCAAAAGGTGGCTTTGCTGGTCTAATGTGTGTGGCTTTGTTCTCATGGGTATGTTTCTCTCAAATGACAACAACTTTTCTTTACCTTTTGTACTTGTTTCTAGAGCCATTTTATATGAGATCTGTCTGTGGTTTAACGGTGAAAATATTCCTGCAGCCTTGCCCAAGATTCTGGTTTTGGCTGCATTTCTTCTTCTCTTATCTTTCTGGTAAGTTGGACCGCATCTTAATGGTTCTTTTATTTTTTTTTGAAAAACCTGTCATGTTGATTTTGCATGGGGGAAATATCATGTTTTTCTCAATGGTATATTTTGAATCATATTTCCGCGATCTTTGAAAGCTTTTGAAGGATGTGCTAGTAACTGCATTTTTGCATTTGAGACATTTTGCCAGGAAATAGTGTAGCGTAACTTATAAGGTACATATATGCTTTTATGGGCAATGATTTTATAGGGCCGACCTTTGCCATCAGGCAAATGATGAAGAGGATGGTGATGAAGAACATAATAGTCAACAGCCTTTATTGGAAAGTTCAAAGAACAAGTCAGGCTTGTCAAACATTGATATTTGTCGGAAATGTTGCTCATTCCAAGGCATTCATGTTGGTGGCAGACAAAAATTTGTCATTGTGGTATGCGTACGAATAATTTCTATTTATGATGCAATATTATAATAGGTGGGTTAATTAATTTTTCTTTCCATTCTCCCACCAGGTCATTATTCTCAATGTCTTCATAATGATTGCCTTTGCTGCAATAATCCGGATTTGTGCAGGGAAGAATTCTAGTCAATCTTTAGTAGTTGCTCGGGTATGGATCATATTACTCCCAAATTATGATACAGTGGGGATTAAAACATCTAAATATCCCTTGATATGTTTCCGTATTAAGTCTTTTATGTTTGTTTAACTCAATAAGGGTAATAATTTTGTGAATTCATATGAATAACCTAAGGCTCGGCTGTTAGTCACCTTCTCACAACTCTTTCTTGTTGTGGTTTTGCCAATATGCATCAGTTTAGGTTAAGCTTATTTAATAGAATATACTGTTAACATCCGAGTTATGATTGATACCTTAACTTCCTGCTCTTGGAATTTATCAGTATATTCGATTATCCTTCTTTCTTTAGAAGATCTTCAATAGGTTAAGATATCCAATGTTAACGTTTTTTTAAGCATGTGTTGACCTTGGTGCTTTTGGCAGCATCGTAGCAAACGGAAAATGGTGTTCACTCAAGATTGAAATTGTGAACGCCGAATTTCTCTACTTCTTATGATTCGTGGGAACTAAGTTCTACATCCGGAGTAGATAACGTTTATATTTTCAGTGTGACTAGTAGCTATTGGTCCATAACTGCAATTTCTTGTGCAGGTATATATAGATTTTCTTGCCACAACAGTGCTTTTAATGGGTGGAGCTTTTGGTTGCTATGGTGAGAATGACTTCTTTCTAATGTTTGTTAATCATATGCGTGGATTCGAGCTTTTTACAGCTTATTAGTTGTTATGTTTTCCCCCGTCGATATGGGCTATGCTGCATCAGTTATTCGATGGTTTTAAGGAATTTTCCTTGGAATTCATGGTGACTCTTCATTTTTCCTAAAGTAACCATGTTAATACATATCTGTACATGGTTATAAGGATATGATCCTCTAAGGACTCTCTGGATGGCAGATACTGGAAAAGTTAGAAAAAAAACAAACATTCCAATGTTGGATATATGGCCACATTCAATATTCCGAGTAACATACTCCTAATTAAGTTACAGTGCTTCTGAAAAAGAAACTAAAATCTGTAACATAAATCATACACTGATGAACTGAAATTACCTAACGAAGAATAACGATGCAAGATCTTTAATGGTTGCACTAAACTTTTCCTAAACAGTTCTTTTTGTCACCATCATTTTGTTTATTCCTTTTAGCCGTTTTGATTCTATCTTGAACTTTTTTCTTTATCTGTTCACAGGTTTCCTTCTATTTTCTAAATTAAGGAGAGTCCGCTCCGAGAGAGCTTCGTCTGAAATGCAGAAGGTTTGCACTTGTTACCAATTCTTCATTTAGCCTTCTTTTTGTATGCATGGAACTCTTGATGCTTAAATATGCTAAAAACAAATTATTGAGAACTTGGTGGTAAAATGATTTTGGTTGATTCTAGAAGCTTGTCACTTTTTTCAGGTGGTTGGTTTAGCAGTTGTCTCGGTCTTGTGTTTCACATCGAGTTCTTTAATAGCTGTTCTTATGGATCTTCCTGTAAGTATTTGATAACTGAAGACCTCAACTTGAAGTTAAGATTTTTTTTTTTCCTGAACTAGGGCATGGGGTTAAGTTTTTTCTTTCTGTTGGCAGCTTTTTCATCATTGGAATCCAAAGGAGATCAATGGCGTAGAAGCACCTATTCTTATTTTGCACTATGTTTTAGGTATTTCATTCAGTCTTTGAAGACTGTGTTTATACAACTGCTTGGATACGGATTTGAGCAAACTAAAACTAAATATAACTCATGTACTTGGCTTTAAACATTTTGAATTAAATATTTAATGAATTAGCTTTCATCTTTACTTTAAACGGTTCAAATATTGTTTAATTTTGTATAATAAAAAGTTAATCTTTAAGGTCTATCGGCAGGTTCATCAGTCCCCTTCGCATTTGGACTATGGTTCATGAGAGAGCTGCCGGCTCCGTCTACAAGTAATAGGCAAGTGCAGCCAATAGCAACAACTTTTATCACTTATGGACCAGCAGGAAGGCCTCATCACCATCAGTACTGGGCTACTGCAACAAGTTTGGGAAATCAGGTATCAGGAAAATAACGATGATTGTCGCTGTCATATGCCTTTTCTCCAAGCGTTCATTCTTGGTATTTGGATGATGAACCCGAGACCTGGTTTTACTTTTATGTTGCAGGTATCTAGAGCAAGTCCAATTTAAGCATTTATTCATCCAAACAACTACAGAATAGACCTCTGTGTTTCTCTCCTGGCTTGGCTCCAAGGATGAAAAGGGGATGGAGATTTTGCGATGCAGCAGTCTCCATTTGGCGGAACTAATCGGCACATTCTTGATTCAGATGACCGTGTTTCTATCACCATAATTTGACATCATTTTAAGAACTATATATGTAGGTGATGCATGAATGTTATAGAAACAAATAGATGATTTGGTGGTTTTTTTTTTAGGATCTGTGATTCTTAGGCATTATGTTGTAAATTTATCCTCGGGTTGAACACCAGCTTGAACAATTTATCGACTCAAATTTTGTTTTTGGTGCTGATAAACAATAGGCAAAGAGATATTCAATTGGCATTGTTTTTTAGGGTCAAAATTCGCATTGTTAAATAAGTCAAAAGTTAAAAGTGTAAATTACACTAATGATCATGAAACTTTTAGGATGTTTGTATTTTGGTCATCAAACTTTTAAAATTTTATTGGAGTCATTGACCTTAAGAAATGTTTTCATTTTAATCACTATTGTTAATGAAAATTGAGTTAGCACCAACGCGTGTGGTTTTCACAATAAATTAATTTCAGTTTTTTTTTCCATTTCCATATGATTAAAAATGATTTTACCCCAAAAAAATATTTTTTAAAATCTAAACATAAATAAACCTTTCATTAGTACGTTAGATTGATTTTGTAAAAGGGTGACTTATCCTAGGTTAAATTGGGAGAAAAATCTTCGTATTAAGATTTTTGATGCCTAAAAGTTTACGTCATGGGTGGCTCTTCTAGTCCAAGGTCAGTGTATACATAAGATTTAATTGGGATTTACATAAGAATTTACAGATTGATGGTTGTAGGATTCGAACTTGGCCTTACAAGCTCAAATTCTTGAATCTCAACCACTTGTGTCAACACTAAACGATTATAAAAAATTCTAGAAACGTTAGTCAATTTTATAGCTGATTATAAAAAAGATCGGCTTTAAAGTTGATTATTGAGGACTAGTAGATCAAAATGCTGAGAGAAGAGTTCGTTCAATGTGTTAGTATAGTACGATAACTTGCTCTTCTTATTATATTTGTTTAAGTATGTTTGTAAAATTTTGTGGCTAGTTTTGAGTATATATTTGGAAATCTAAAAGTAATCATAAATGTTATACTTTAAAAATATTGAACTGTATTTTTAAGATTTACATTTATTCTATAATCCATATTGGGTCCTTTTCCCTCCCTGTCAACTAACATAACTAACAAACTAACATGTGTGACGTTATAAGAAAACTAATATTAGTGGCACATGAAAGTCGAGCCCCAAACGGGAGGAAGCAGGAGACTGAAATACAAGTTGACTAGGTTGAACAGGATACATTATATCTAAGAAACCAATTTAGAAAATTTTAGGGTAAAAACAAATCATTAATAAAAAAAACAAGGTAAACTAAATAAATGATCACATAACAATGGGCCGGATCGCTAAATGACCATCATTTTCAAATTTGCGTAAATATGATCACTGAACTATTTAAATGGTTTCAATATAGTCATCTGTCGTTAACACTTAATGAGAGTGTCTATATGGCAATTAATAAAATTGGTATAATTAGGGCACGAGTCCTTATAAAGTTACGTATTCGAGGTGCTAGAACCCTGCTTTGTTTTCTTCCATTTTGGTCACTACTTGTGTATGATTTATTTCTTTGGATTTTCATTTAATGAAATTTGATTATGATTCCGTTTTTAATTTGTCTAATGCCTTAATTGAGCATTAACTTTCAAAAAAATATAATTTAATTTATTATCATTATTGTTATAGTTGTATATTTAAAAAAATTATAATTTTAATTCTTAAATTTAAGGCATTCTAACAAAGCAAGTCCTATACAACAGATATATGATACAGGATCCATTTTGCACATTATGTTCAAACCAAGCAGAAACCAGCAAGCATATCACCAAAGAATGTAACTTGGCACAGCAAGTATGGAGAGGTTTGAATTACCTTTGGCCTGGTAAACACCTGCAGTGATCCTTCAAGGAATGGCTCAGCTGGATGATGGAAAACAACCTTCGTAAAAGGCTCAACGAAATTTTAGTAGGTATTTGGGCGTTGTGGTACGCAAGAAACAGAGGAATACATAACGGGGACATTATGAGAAGTGAACAAGTAATTACCCTTGTTCGAGGTCAATGCAGAGACTATACACTGGCAAACAACATAGGTCTCAGCCCAAAAAGAAACACAGTGGTGAGATGGTCTCCTCCCCCACCGAATGTAGTAAAGATCAATTACGATGCTTCCTTCAACAAATCTGAAAACAACGGGTGGTCAGGTATAATAATAAGGAATACTTAAGGGTTCGAAATGGGTGCATGTAAAAGAAGACTAAAAAGGGTAACATCAGTTTAACCGTTCGGAAATGCCAAGAAATTAGAAATTAAAATGATACGATTAATAGCTTAAACATTCATACAGAAGATTCAGAACTGCTAAGCGTGAATTTCAACACTTGGCCCATCATCAACGCTAATCTCTTTTGCAATCGCCATTCCAAGCATAAATTCTTCAATTTTGTTTTAGTTTTATTTCTATAACACCTGACATTTATAATAGTTATACTTATGTTTCCAGTTCAATAAGCTTTGACGGAAGCATTCAAAAACGCTAAGGATCCAAAATGCTGTGGCTGAATAAAATGTTGTTCTAATATGCATGCCGTTACACTTTTTTGCCTGGTTTCCAAATGCTACTACAACCCATCCACCTTTTGACATAAAATAATCAACCCAAACAATAAAGATCTATGTCCCTGTTAAAATAGTTTCACCCACGAATTCAAATTAACACATGCTTTTACTAATACATGTTATTTATTACATGTATAGTGTACCTTTAAGCTCATTCAGTTAAGGAAATGAGAGAAAACCAAACATAATTTTCTTATAAATAAAAAACCTGTTTACAAAACCTGTGGTAGTAAGTGAAATTACATTTGCACAGTTTAGATTAGCATTTGTCTCGGCCCTTCAGAAAAATTTCTCCAGATCAATGGAATAATGAAATTACATACAAATTTCAGGCACTAAATGAAAGGAGTATCGAGCAGAAACAAGTAAACAACCACAAATGAACAACTTCTAAGATCACACTCATCTTGTACGAAACAATTTAAAACTCTGTACCATAATTGAACATAACAGTCTCTCTGCAACAACTAACACTGATCGATTGAAAAATGGGAGGATAAATCAACAAAAAAAGATCTTATTTTCTTGAACTGGAACTAAAATTTTGCGAACAATAAAATCCATAAAAAAAAGTTATCTTTAAATCTAAGAAATCGGCGACATACCTGATGGTCGGCAATTGGTGACCGGACTGGCGACGACGGCGTGATGCACAATCGAATTTATGATAAGAGTTGAAAGGAAGAAGAACGATCGAATAAAATTAAGGATTTGGATCCCGATATGTTAAAGTACTACTCAGTAACGATCGATTAAAACGCCACTAAACTGCAGGGTGATCATGGCGCTCACCAAAAAATGCCACCTTATAGTATTCAATAGCGGTGTTTCTAATAAAAAACGCTGCTAAGGTAGCTACCTATTGCGACGCTACTCCGTAAACGCCGCTACTGATTTTATTTTGGATGTGTTTCCTAAAGTAAAAGTCTTTTGCGGCGTTTCATCAGAAAAATGTCACGAATGTCTATCAAGAAAAAAAAATTCCTCAGCACCAAAGTACAATATTTAGTGGTGTTTGTGCTTAAAACGCCACTAACGAACTAGTATTTAGCGGCACTTGTATACAAACGTCACTATAGTACGAGTCTTTAGTCGTGTTTATATTCAAACGCCGCAAAAGTATGAGTATTTACCGAAGTTTGTTAAAACTATGCCACTAAAGTACGAGGTTCTAGCTACATTTATATAAAATCACCACTAAGTATATTTACCGGCATTTGTTAAAAAACGCCACTACAATATATTTAGCGTTTATAAAAACGCCACTAAAGTATGAGTATTTTCCGACATTTGTTCAAAAAATGTCACTAAAGTATAATATTTAGCGGCGTTTATATCAAAACACCACTAAAATACGAGTCTTTAGAGGTGTTTGTACAAAAATGACACTAAAGTACAATATTTAGTTACGTTTATATAAAAACGCCACTAAAATACGAGTATTTACCGGCTTTTGTTCAAAAAACGCCGCTAAAAACCCATTTTGCTATAGTGGTCCCTAGATCTGATTTTCCCTCAAGAAGAAGCGGAACAGATCCCTCTCTTTTCAGATTTGATATTCCCTGAGTAACAGCAGAACAAGTTTGCCTCGATTTAATCTTCCCTGAGTAACAGTGGAATGAATCAACGTCCCCATATCTGATTTTCCCTCAAGAAAAGCAGAATAGATCCCCCTCTTTTCCAAATTTGATATCCCCCAAGTGACAGTGGAACAAGTCTACATCGATTAATCTTCCCTGAAGAACAGTGAATGAATCAATGTTTCTCGATCTGATCTACCCTACAGAAACAGTGGAGCAGATCCTTATCAAATTTCAAAGCACGGAGATGGAACCAGACAAAAATGTGTTGTCTTTTTATATTTGCCCTATTCTTGTTTACACAAGAATGAACAAAGAGAGGCAACTGTCGACATCCGTTTTAGTCCGGAGACCTGTTTTATTTTATTATTATTATCATTATTATTTATTATTTATTATTATTATTTTCATTTGCAGGATACAAACCTAAAACTGGGCCCCAAATTACAAGCATGCCTAATCGGGCCGAACAAAAAGAAACCCAATTCAACAATTCACACCCAAAGCCCAACAAAACCGGCCCAATTACAACAAGCCCATTGGTGAGCCCAACCCACGGCATCTGCACCAAATTTCTCCAACTCTAGCAGACTCCCACGTGAAGCCACTGCCATCACTATGCCACCATACCCTGCCATCACAATGCCCATGCCTTGCATCACCAACCGAACACGCCATCAACATATCCACAAAATCACTGCAACATTCCACATCTCTAAATCAGCAAAGTCATCTCCAAATCAACAATCAATGTATTATTTAATTTGATGTAATGGGATAAAACGAGGGGGCAGATTACACTAGGGGCTCCCGAATAAAGCAAAAAACAACAATGTAAGGGTAAGGGGGCTCTCGATATTAAAAAATAGAAAAGAGGCTTCCCCGAATTTATCTATTCTTCCCCGATTCAAAAGTAGAGAAGTTATGTAAAAGCGGTTTTCCTCCCCACCATTTTGGAGCAATTTACAAAGAAC